TCGCGTCGCCTTGCCCTCCTCGGTTGGTGCCTCTCTCTCTCGAGGTATGTATATATATATGGTCACGACGCCCTGGCCTTCCCTCCCTCTGCGGATGCCTGTGTGTTATTTGCTGTGCATCCCTGCTGTCTTCCCGCGGTCCCCAGGTGCCCCCACACCTGGGCGCAGCGCTGCACCCCACCTGGGGACAGGCCTGGGGACCCCCTTGGTGGCAGAGCCGGAGGGTCCTGCGGGCTGGGGTCTGCCTCCCCCCGTCTTTGTGTGTATAAGGCACCCCTCCCCAGCCCCAGGGTGACAGGTACCACAGGCAGTTTGGCTGGAGCACAAATACTGCCTTTCTTCACACGCTCGTCACGAGTTAGTAGAAAGCTGCAGCAGCCCAGATGCCTTCCTAGACATCCGTTCCTCCTACTCAGCCTCTGGCAGAGAAAAGAAAATAACAGGCAGCACTTCTTTCTGTGTGGGTGGAGGAAGAGAAAGGACTATCGATAATGAATTTGTTGAAGGGACCCTGACTTCTTGGTTTTAATTACTATTTTAGTAGTTTAAGTGTAGCACTGGGTTGTATAGCTGCCACAGAACTCACTTGGTAGCTTTTAGCGCAGTGCTTTTAAAATCCTGCGTTCTTGCTTTTGCTTTTTAGTAAAATCTTGTGTCAGTCCTGATACACACAAAGAACCCATTCGGTAAAACTCAATTGCCAGAAGAGTGATGTCGACTGTGTACAAAATGCTGGGCTACTGGAAAAGCAACATTTTCTATTTGCTTCAGTCCTTCTGGGTTGTAACGGCAGTTTCTTGTAACAAGTGAACATTTGTCATTTGGAAGGTGGTTGTTTGTTTGTTTAAGTTGCTAGTGTTTCTTTAAGATGGCTTTTTCCTCTGAGTGAAAGGTGGAGTATCATCAAATCATGGGGCTAAATCTTGCAATCAGCACATGAATAGAACTGTCCTTTGGAGGAAATGATGCCTTGGTAAGCAAGAGAGGGACTTGTCATATCAATGAATCCATCTTCCAACCAGAGCAGCATTATCAGGAACCTCTCTGTAGGATTCTGTGGAAACGGGATCCCCAACCCTTTCTTGGATTGAGGGAACTGCTCTTGCAGCACTGTTTAACTTACTATGTATGGCAGCATGTGAGAAAATGTAAAGGTGATTCATGTAACCATACTCCTTGTTTTTCTAGTTGTTTAACTGTTCTTACTATCTGAAATACTGAGTGCAGCCTCAAATACAGAGAAGTGTTTGTGTATTGCTAATAGAGATGTGGATGAAAGCTACATAATAGGGGTGTATAAATAATATGATTTTTAAGTAATTGTGATCCCATTCGGTTTGAATGAAATTTTCTTCCCTCTATGGGATAAAAAACTGAAAAAAATCTTACTGAAAGTGTACTGTCTTTTTTTTTCTCTAGAGCTGTGTGAAGAAATTCTTCAGCCATGGATGTGTTCATGAAAGGACTTTCCAAGGCAAAGGAGGGAGTCGTAGCAGCAGCAGAAAAAACCAAGCAGGGTGTGGCAGAAGCAGCAGGAAAGACGAAAGAGGGCGTCCTCTATGTGGGTAGGTGGGCAGCAGGGATCAGGCTGCTGGTCTGTGTACCCTGATATTCACTGCTGGATCCTCATCAGACCTATTCTTCTGAAAAAAAAAAAAAAAAAAGTAATCACTTATAGGAGACAACTGCAAAACAAACAAGAGGAGAGTTGTACCCTCCTGAGCTCCAGTTCTTTGAAGCCAAATGTTGGGTCTTACGTTGTTGCGTTGTGCTGCCATGCCTAACTGATCTGTGGAGCCACATCTGTAACGCCATACAGAACGAGCTTGTGTCGTAGGAGGTGCCTTACAGTAAAGGTCACTCTATTCAAGAGCTGGCACTCTATTCAAGAAGTTTGCTAGGTTAAGGCTGAAGGGGCAGTTGGTATAGTAAAACTAAATTTAAAAAAAAAAACGATGTAAAAGCTGCAGTGGAAAGTTGCTTGACAGCATCCCATAGAACATGGGGGGTTTAAGTGGGATTTTAAGAGAAGAAACTTCAGAGGTTAATTCAGGAACTGAGCGTAAGCCATGCTGACTTCTTGGCGCATTGACAGTAACATTTCGTATGGCAAAGTGTCATCTCCTCGTCTTTTGAAATTAACTTCATGTTCTGTACTTACTATTGCATATCCATAGCAGATATTTTCCATGACTTCTCAAGGAAGAGCCACTACAGTTAATGAGGTAGGGCAGGTACACCCCAAGGTAGCAAAGCAGTTGTTAAGTGACTTATCTAGGCCACTAGGCAAGGAGTCTTGCACAGACCCAGGGATAAAATTCTTTTCAAATCCCAGATCGGTACTTTGATTGCACGATCCTCATCTTCACTTAGCAATTATCGGGCTTTAGAGGACTATCTTGCAAATGCTGCCATGAAAAATTCACAGGAAAAGAATCTGCCAAGACCATATGAATAAGTGGTCATTTAAAAAAACAATTATGGATCTATTTCCCCTATTCATCAAATAAAGTTGGCCTATAAAAGAATGGAGGGGAAAAGATACTCTTTTCTGTAGGTCCTTTCTTTTTTGCTGATTTTGTAGCAGGTCAGTTCTGTAATGGATGCCGTGTGTACCTAGGGAGATGTGCACAGATATTAAAGAGAAGTTAAACAGAGCTGAAAACTAGAGGCATTTCTTTTAAATGGGAGTGCTGAGGTCTCTGCAATTCTGATGTCTTTTCAGGATTCCCTCTGCCCTTGCAGGCTAGTGCCAGTCTGTAACAAATTATTTCTGCTCCAGATAGTTTGGACTACTCATCTGGAATACACTTTTCTCCTGCTGAGCCATAGCAAAGCTTGGTGCTCTTGCCAACAGAGATGGCAGTCATTTTGAAAACTAATTGTAAGATGAGTCTATTTTAAAATGAGCGTCTGCTCATTTTCAATATATCAAAATAGATGTTCTTTCACTGTACATTGTGCTTGATATCGGAGTTATTTTTCAGGGGTAGGGCTTTCTTTTTTATTTTCTTTTCTTGTAGTTCCTGACCATGCCTCTGGAGTAATTTATTTATTTGTATTAGAAACCTGCATTGTGTGTTAAATTAATCTTTGTGTCTGACCTGTTCTCCAGACTGTAATAATATTTGAGCCTAGTTCTGCTCCCAAAGGCAACAGATTTCCTATTGTCTTCAGAGATGCTTTTGCTGAGGTTGAACTTTGGAGGGCAGGCTTACTATTTATTTCAAGAATAGAATACCAAGGACAGCGGAGCCCTGAGCCATGATGGGGACCTGTGCATATGACTGTAGTAATGGTGAAGGATCCTTCCCACAGCAGATGCCTGCTTTTCAGGGGGAAAGAGCTATATGCACAGATTCTGTTGTGCTGGTAAAAAAAGCTCTTGGTTGGAAGCTGTCTCCAGGAGCTCCAGCAGTTCATTTGTCCAGGTGTATGCCTGCCCGTACCTGCTTGTAGGGAGCCATGGTTTCCCCAGCTGAAGTTTCAACAAGATTGATTAGGGTAAGCAGGAAATGAGGAGTTGGGTATTTCTCTGTCTCCTTCCCAAGCACACAGCAGGGGTGGCTCTTCTCCTGAACAACATTAGCAAATACTGGTGTGGTAACGTCTCGGTTCTGTAGGCTGATAACTGTTGCAGTGCAAAAGGTGGTGAAACTCCTTTATGAGCAGAGGAGAGGAGCAGCACGCTGCATTAGAGCTCCTGAAGGTTTCTCTCTCCCTTTCTCTGTAGCTGGGTTTTCAGATATGAGTTTCACAGCCAAATTATGCTGTGAAATCTGCCTGACATCCTGCAAAAAAGAACCTAACAACATTGGGCTGAGAGGGACCTGTTAGTTGTTTTCAGTTTTGACAGTCAGTTCCACAACATTCAGCCTTCCATTGCTGCTGGAGAATTAATAAGATGCAAAGTCTTTGGTCCAGATCCCCTAGGTGATATGGTCTCCACTATGAAATCAGTGGAATTTAAGTAAATATTGAAAGCGTCTGGACCTGTCTGTCCAGGTTGCTGTTAGCTATTATATGAAAGATTGTAACATAATTCTACCTGGTAAGAGTTCTGTTAACAAAAGCTACTGCTTGGGATGAAATGTGGTTGTTGAAACTTACTTCTTTTCTTTCCTTCTTTTTGCAGGTTTTTTGTTTTAGGGTTTTTTTGTTGTTGTTGTTGGTTTTTTTTTTTTTTGGCACAAGAAAAGTTCCCTTTGGCATAGGGGAAAACTCAGAGCTGAGGGAGAATGGTATATTGGAGGATTAACTGGGGATTTTTTTCCCCTCTTCATGCTGAAGCCTGTTCATTCTTCCCTCAGTCCACTGTCTTTGTCCTGCTTTTTAATACTCCAGATACTGTTCAATACAGTCTGTAGTGTGTTTTTATGCTTTCAGTTATTTTTTCCCGAAATTCCTCTGCTGATGTACTTCAGCATTGGCCAGCTGAAATCAGTGGCTCTGGCTTGACTCTATACAAGCACAGCATCAGAACCTTTCCCTGTGTCAAAGAATGGCCTGGTCACTGATTAAACAGGAGGACTGAGACTCAGCAGTCTTGTGCTGCATCGTGTATGCCATAAATTTAAAACTGGGTCTCTATGTATCCTTCAAGAGCTGTTGGTGCGAAGCAGTGAGGAAACGAGTGGCAATACTTACCCCCACTCACTTTGAAACCAGGAGCTGAGAGCAAGAAGGATGCTCTTGGATGCTCTGAGTGATGTACTGCTCAAGAGTTCCTCTGAGCTCTGTGTTGCTAACAGGGAGCTGAAGTTTTTGCTCAATTGACTCTCTCTGCAAGTTCAGTGCTCAGGAATGGAAGTTTCCAGTCTGATCACTTTTGATGTGTTATACCCTAGCAGAACAAAGGAATCGTTTATCAGGGGTGGGGTGCTAGCGGATGAGTTATTTACTACTCCCTGTGCTTGGCTGGCACACGGCCTTAGAGTAGAACAGTGTAGTCATGACCTATTTGGCAACGCCATCCAAATTCCCGTGCTGCGCTCCCTTGTCATAAGGTTTCTTATTTTCCTTTGGTAATAGAAAAGCCAGTGGAGTAGTCAAGGGACTCAAAGTCCATCTTCTGGAGACTTTGGCTCTGATCTTCTGCAAATGCATGCATGAGTCTCCTTAAGACGTTAAAAGTAACATGGTTTCTGTGAGTCTGAGAGTCCTCCATGTGAGTTTGCTAAGTGGGAGGCTTAATTAACACGGCTATTAAGAAAATGGCAAAGAAGTCAGTACATACAAGAAATAAACTGCAGAAGTGTTTCCAGTATTATTCACTTTTCCACAGTCAATATACATTCATGCAGTTGCTCTTCATTGAAGGTTTTGCCTTTTCCTTAGATTAAATTCTCTTGAATTAATTTTAATAATCTTAGGAAATTCTGTATGCAACTGGATGTAATCTATATATTCATCCCATTTTATCATTAATCTTGTCTTTACCAGTACTTAAGAAGATGTATTTTCAACCCAATATTGTTCTTTGTTTAGGTTCCAGGACCAAGGAAGGAGTTGTTCATGGTGTCACAACAGGTAAGACAATTATCTCTTAATTTCAACTGCCTCCCTATGTTTGATTAATCAACCATTTAGCTGTTAAAAATTTTGTGTATTTTTTTGAGAGCACTCATGAATGATAGAAAAACATAGAAAAATTGAGAGGCAGAAAGCAACATTCACTTTGTCAAAATGCATACACTGGTTTACAATCAAATATGTAAATTTAATACAGTTGTTTCTATGTGAGAAGGGCTTTTTGACAAATGTTCTGAGTCAAAGTCAAGCTGTACTAGTATGAGCCAGGAGACTAATGAAACCAGATTCCTAAACAGAAGGAAATAACTTGCCTTTGTAGAAATAGATAAATCAAGGGTCTTTCTGTGCCAAAGGTGAAATATTCTATGCTGGAAAAAGGTATAAACTAGTTGGCATAAAAAAATGAAGTCCTCCTTAATTTTTTTTTTTTTTTTCTATGAAGAATTTTGACATATAGAAACTGAAAGCCTGGCTTGGGTGCCCAGGGTTGTTTCCTTGTGATCTCAGGAGGCAGAAAAGTGGGATCTGGAGGTGGGAGTGAAGGAGAGGAATGCCACTGGAGGAGGACTGTGGAAGACAGAGTGGAGAGGGGACTGAACATATGTCAGGAGGACTTTCGTCTGCTGATTTAGGAGCTCATAGTCAGACAGGACCAACGCTAGTGGAAGAAACAGGAATTACTGCAACAAATGAAGGAGGGAAAATAATGTTGAAGGAGTGTGCCTCATACAGTAGGGACTGTAGGAGCTAAGTAGAAAGGAAGAACCACAGGGAGAGTTTGCAGTTAAGGCAAACGAGGTCCACTGATTGGACAAGCCGGCAAGGGGTGGCAGTGGGCAGGCCCTGTCCGCTGCTTCTCCTGGGAGAACTGATGCAGCTCCACGGACAGAGCTCCTGCCAGAGCGTTCAACCACCCAGGCTTCAGGCTGTGGGGTGTGTGCAGGCATGCGCCCCAGGATGGAGGGTGATAGAATGCATGCCTGTGGGAGGTGTGACCTGGTGGCTGAGCTGCAGGAGGAGGTGGGCAGGCTGAGTTGCGTCTGAGAAGGTGATTGACCCATGGAGCTGTGCTCTGCCATCTCTGGTGCACACAAGCCAGCTCAGCGTGGCTGTTATGGAGGTGGGTCCAGGATCTGTTTAGTGCCAGGAGGAAAGCAGCGTTATGGGGGATAGGGAGGGGTGGAAGCAGGTTACTGCATGGAGCTGTAAGAGGAACCCTCTCAGCTACCTTTACAGAATAGGTACAAGGCTCTGGGCATGGTAGACAAAATGCATGATAAGACAGAAGAGGAGGAACCTGTGTAAGCACCCTTACCAAGGGCACATCAACCAAACCCTGTGCCTGTTTGCAGACCAAACCCTCTTTTCAGGGAAGTTCGCTGCCTCTCTGCAGCCCCAGTCGGGGATGTCACCAGATGACTGATGAGCTTAGTAACAGCCTTCAGACTGTTACCCACTCCTGATCTTTCATGTGGGTACTGATAATGTTGCAACCAGAAGTGCAACATCGATCAAAAGAGATTTCAGGGCCCTGCGAAGACCGCTGAAAGGTTCAGGAGCACAAGTAGTGTTTTCCTCAATCCTCCCATTAATGGGGAGAGACTTTGGAAGAAACAGGCATGCCCAAGACATCAATGCCTGGCTCTGGGACTGGTGCCTCTGCCAGAACTTTGTTTTTTACAGTCATGGAGGAGTCTTTAAAACACAAGGTATGCTAGGGCCTGATGGGATCCACCTGTCCCGATGAGGAGAATGTCTCTTTGCTCATAAGCTGGCAGGACTGATTGAGAGGGCTTTAAACTGGTACATCTGTGGCTGCAGAGAATTCCATGTGAGCCTAATATCCAAGTATCATCTGTGCTCTTAGTGGTTCTTCATCCTAGCCTGAGGTCTGTTTCCAACAACACACATATAGTGCATTTTCAGATAAGGTGGGCTTGCTGTGCCTGCAGTCAAGCTGCCACTGCAGTGTGGACATGCCCCATCACTCCCTTCATTCTTAAAGATTCTTGTGACTTGTCAATGTGTCCCACTGGAGCTGGTTGGGTGGGAAGATAGAAGGGAAATGACTTACTGGAAAGAAATTTCAGAGTTTCAATAAACTGATTTGAATTCATCACGGTTATGAGGGTTTTGAAACGTTTTTTGGAACTCTGTAATCTCTCAGTAGCAACAGCACTTTCAAACTTTGAAGTTAATGCTGGACATGTATATTCATATTAGCATTTCTACACTGAAAAAGAGTAAATTTACATTTTAAATTGATTTGCTGGGATCATTTCAGGTATGAACTCAAACCAGTAACCAATAATTTGTAGTAAGTGGCAAAATGAATGGAAGTCTTTGATCTCTACAGAGCACAGGAAAACCTCAGCTGACTGTAGTGCATTGAATAGAACATGTAATTTTGTGCTGTAGAATATGGGACTTCTGGAGTTGTGAAGAAAATGCGTGGTCAAGAAATTTGAGGTGTTTTTCCCCTAAGAAATTAGAAATCAAATAAGTAAGGGAGTAGAAAAGGATTTCTTCTTTCTTTTTGTTCTGTGTACAGCCAGTGTATCATTCACCTGTGCTCACGTAAGCCAGTGTAAATGATAAACAATTGTAGGTAAACCTAAATTGGCAGTAAATAAATGATTAAGAAGTCAGTCAAGAGTATTGTTAGTATCAAAACTGAACAGGACATCTATGATAGTCCTTCAGAGTTTAGCCTCAGGCTAAACGTGCATGATGTTATTATGAGGTTTGAAATCTCAACTTGTTAGACCTCAATTAAGAGAAATATTCAGAGGGATCATTTCTATGACCAGTAGCAGATTACAGTGGAATGAGATTTGAGGCACTTATAACTAGTATCATCACAGATGTGAGAACAGCAAGTTGACAGCACTAGCTAGCAAGTTAGTAGAGGTGATATTCACCAAGCTGGGCTGTGCTAGAATAAAAGTCAAAGGCATTTGCACATGTATGAAACTTGCTGAAGCACTGGGACTCTGTAGTAGGCTAGCTTAGTGGGGAACTTCTTTCCCTCCTCCTGAGAGAAACAACTCATCCCGAATGCTGCGAGTATCCATCTTTATCTGATTGCACTATGTGTAGTGAGACAGGAAATTTTAAGTAGATTAATAGAATTTTTGACAGGTTTGAAAGGATGTTAAATTTTGTTCTGGAAGATATGAAACAGACTATAAAGCCAAACATAAGGAGAACACATCTGTTACGTGCTGTGCATCTGAATAGAAAATTCAGAAAAGTTACTGCAAATTTTAGGCAAAACAGTGGTTGCTCCTCACCTGCTTTAGGAAATGGGTGACACAAAGTGAAACACCCAAAGCTTGGGAATGATGGGTTCTGTGCCACAGTTTGCTTCCTTCTGGCTTATTAAACTCTTTGAAAGGAGTTTGGCTGTTGAATGAAAATGGAAAATGAATAGAGGACATGCAGGTTGAAGTGTGGCAGTGAGAAGAGGAGACCTAATGCAAAATCCAGAGAGCACAGCTTCTAAAATGAAACAGCATGGGCTTGGTAGTGTAAGAACAGAGGAATTGTTTGGGCTTGTATTTTAAGAATAAAAAAAAATTTTTACAATTGCAAGTCTATGAAGAGTTGTTCTGGCAAGCAGAGAAGGTAGGTAAAACCAGATTTGGGTTCACTGTAGTGATGCTGAGATATAATATGAAGACACTGAGAAATGCTAGTGATGTTGTCCTAGTAATCAAATACATTTAAATCAGTGCTATTAAAGTTGATGTGACAAAACTGCCTTTTAGGGCACTTAAAAGACCTACTTCTCTCTTTTCATAAGACTAGGAGTTTGCCAGTCCCGGTGGTCTTATGATGCACCGGGGTGTTAATATCATGTGAATCCTGAGGTGGAATAACACATTTTGTTAGGTGAATAAAGATGATTCAAGAAGTTAGAGACAGTCAAATGCAAACTAAAATTACAGATCAAAGTGAGTGTGTGTTGACAGTTGTGCAATCAGTCCTTTCTTACTGTCTGAGTTCCAAGGTCTTGCTAGTTTTGCTATGTTTGAATAGTTTGTGGTTTAAAAACCCTTCACTGGTGAAGGGACTGGGAGCTGACAAACCTCAAAGTGCTGAACAACTAAATATGCTTTTTGATCAGTTGCTTTCCAAACCCAGAAATACTAGACTGAGATATTTTTTGCTTTGAACATAGTATGACCTGATTGTACCAGGTTTAGTGGCATCGAGACACTGTAAAATGAGGATACCAGGCTGTGATTCACAGGAATACAGTGAGCGTGTTATTTGTTGGGTCACCCTTTCTTAGAACTTCTGAAAATGAAGAAGCTTTGCTTATTGGTTTTATGGGGTGTTAACTTGTGTGTCTGGCTTGCCTGCCTAATTAATATGTCTACTGGTCTTTGACTTTAAATGCATAATTCATCTTGCTTATCTCCCAGGGATAAGTGTCCAGAAATGTACAGTACTCAAGATGAAATATTTACAGTCTATCTCCTGATAATCAAAGGAAAGCACTGGTTTGTAGAAAAGATCAGGGCCAAAAAGCCCTTGATACTTCAACAACATGTCTGTTTCCTGAAGCTGAGTCAAAGCACAATATCAAGTTATGAACCATAGCCAAGTGTTTTGTTTAACTCTTTTATCTGATCATTCTTGTACTTCTGAACGTTCTTAGTCATTGGTATTCCTGTTATGTTTGTTTTAATTCCATCAGGTATCTTACAGTAAATTGTATGAATTAAAGAACCCCCAATGTATTTACGGCTTCTTTGTAAATGAATTCTTCAAGTACCTACGGCAATCTTATTGTCTGAAATACATATTCAAAAGCGTATTTAGTGCAGTAAGAGTAGCTTCATTAATTCAGAGAAATCCTGTGGTTTTCATCTACTTTTATTGTTCAAAATTGAAAGCAACTAGTTCTCATTTCGAATTGCTCCAAAGGTTTCACATCGATATTGTATGTTACCCAGTTGTCTATAACAAGTAGGGAAAAGAAAGCTTCAATGCTAATAATTTTTGCACAGTGCTATAGTCAGTATTAGAACTTCAATTTCAAAGTTAGCCTTGGCATGGTCTTTGTACATAATCCCAGGATCACTTACTGGAAAGGACAGTCTCTGTATAGATGGACAGAAGTTATCGGGCCATAGCACAGTAGAGCTCTGCAGAAGCTGATTTACTCACTTTCTCAGCACTGTGATGCAAAGCAGACATCAGCTTTACAAAGACTTAATGGCTTAAGATCATTAAACAACCTGGTATCCAGATTAATTTAATTAGTTCGTGTCAACCCCCTGCATTCTGAACTGATTTGTTTGTGCACACTTAATGCTTTTCCCCTGTTACTAGTTAGTGTAAGCAATAAAATATATGAGACTGGAAAGCTATTTTGTTTTTATTTCTCCTGTCGCTAGGGTTCCAGAGCTGAAGGGTCACCAAGCTGGAGCTTATTTACAAAGTCACTCTGGTAATAGGGAGTTTGCCGGTGTTTAGGTATTCCTTAGAGACAAGAAGACTCTCTCTCCTGCTAGTATGAGTGCTTTTGCAAATCTGTGCTATGCATATAGTTTGCTGGATTTATTGTCATGGCTCTGATTTCTGAAGCAGCGTATGAGAGATCTTTCATGCTACCTTCTGTGTCAGCTGTCTTAGGCTATGTCTGAAATAGAGACAATCTTAAATATACTGCTTTTGTTACTACTTTTATCAGGTATCTTGTTGTTGTGCCAGTAACAGCATTAGCGACATGATTCTTTGGTTTTTTGTTTTGTTTGTATGTACCAAGCCTTTCCTAGGGTAATGTTTCTGGGAGGAGAAAATAGACTTCAGACAGAGCTTTCCCAAAACACTGTAATAGTGGGAACGGCAGCCACTGCATAGTTGCTCTTGGTAGGTGGTCTTATTTGCCATAACAACATAGTCTGAGAAAAGTGGTTTTAATAGTGGCATCAGGAATTAGGTGTTTTATATTGCAGCATCCACAGTGCACCCAATTTCACTCTATTTCTTCATATTTTGCTTTTGAGGTGCAGGTTTTTTTAAGATCTTGAGATAATGAAACTAATTATGACTATTGACAATGAACACACTGCAACCATGCTTTATCATTTTATCAGAAGGGAGGAGTCTGCTTAAGAGCAGCTGAGGATGTGATCCTTTCTCAGCATCAAACCTGCTGAATTTGTCTGTTTTAAATGTTCTGCCATTCAATGTATTTTGGAAAAGGGAGTTTTCAAAACAGTGTATGTCACTTCCATTAAAAAAAAAAAGCAAACCAGAAGAAAATATATATTAAAAGGACCTTGATTTACATATCTTCTCTTGGTTTTGCTTCTCTCCCAGAAAATGAATGAGACAAAGAAAAAGTAAAAAGCAATGCTGAAACTTACCCAAAACACATCTCTCCTTTTTCTTTTTTTTTTTTTTTTTTTTAAAAATTTCTTGGAGAATATCATTTACTTTAAAGTGTATTTTTGCAAGATGCTACTTTTTTTACATAGCTCAGTTTGAGATTTCTTCTTGCCATTGTAAATAATATGAAAGTGTTAACAAGTTTCCTTCTCATAATGTTACTCAGTTTGTTTCTGAAAGACTCCATGTTTCTGAAAGACTCGTAATATTCTTTGGAAGATATAACATGTTACTAGGACACAGACCTTAGGATACGTGTTTGCAAGAACTAGTGAAAAACTTTCTATATAGACTTCATGTGTAGAATCCAGAGCTTTTGTAGTCTGTAGCTGGTAATAATCAAAGAGGGCATCTTAATAGATGTCTTCCTGCACTTGCTAACATTATGTCAAACCTTCCTTGAAGGCAACATATGCTTTTCAGCAAAACCCACTTTTGATTTTTGTTCTGGAAAAAGCATGGCAATATCCTGGATGGATAAAATGAAATTGCTTGTGAATTTGTATCTTATCAGCATGTATAGGTTGAAAGATCTTTGGAACAGACTGTTTTTCTGTTTCTAGTTTCAGACAATATATAGTCCATTTTTGTCCTGCTCTATAATGCAAGCTTCTGGGTTTGGTCATAATAGAGATAATACTCAGTCAGTTACTAATTTTTCACTCTAAGTTAGTTAGAATGAGTGCTAAATTATCTGCCTCCATTTTCAGTCAGCAGATATTTATTATTTGGGTCTTTAAATAACAACAATTAGGAAAAAGCTAGAAAGGTAAGCAACATGCCTGATGTGATTTTTTTGTTTGTTTGTTTTTTATTAATGTCAATCATAGCAAGATATGCTGCATGTCTTGCGATATGGACAGCTGATATTCTTTATGTAAGGAATTAAAGAAATCTAGTTTACCTGGAGAAAAGTCTTCTCTTTGTATGTGCTTCCCAAAAAAGTATCTGAAAGGGTGGCCTATCTGCCAAGCAGAATCCATCCCATGCTCATAAAGGGTGCAAATGGAGCTATGAATACATTTTATGGATCAGATGGGATTTGGGCTGAAGGAAACTACAGGATTAGTTAGAACTGCAAAGCTAACCAGTAAATGTTTTTGAAGAACAGTCCCTTGATTAGATGAGTAAATGTGGGGTTTTTTTCAAAAATCTGTCCGTGTAACTTTAATGCATGAAGTCATCCCATCTCTTTTCTTAGAGCGATTTCACTGTAGTGCAAGCTGCTGTCAGAAAGAGCCCTTGGGGATGAATGAGCAGAAAGAACCCACTAATATTCTGAAAGGTAGAATGGCAACCACTGATGTATATGTAGGCTAAATGAGTTGTTGTTTCCCCTGGGGCTTGGAAGTTAGCTATTAATCCAGTTTGCTTTGGCATTCAATCTTTTTGTAGATTAGTATGTTATGGATGGGCACATCAGCAGTGGGGCAAAAATCCCAGAGAACCAGATAAAAGGTTGCATTAGAAATTCTGCCAGCAACAGTAGTTCTGCTTATTAATCAAGTATATTTTAAAAAATAAATAAAAGAATAATCAATGGCTTTTGAATCTAATGTAAACAATATTGTCTTCCGTGCCCTGTAACATGCAGTAAATATTTGGCGGACTAATTGGAATGCATTTCCAAACTGGGATATTGAATGCAATTATTATACATTACACAGTGAGTTGGGTGTAATAAGGGCCCTTAAGTAATGACTTTTCTACCCTAAAGTACAACTAGACATGAATGAAAATGTCAAATGTCTTTCACATGAAAGAAATTGAGCTGCAAATAAGGCTTCTTTTTACCTCTGCTGCTCCAGTGTTACCAGATGGATAATCTCATTTCTTAAGATCCACTTGGGGTACACAAAGTGTAATGGCCTTATGGCTCTTCGTGATGTTGGGCTGTCAGTGATAGATATGATTCTCTGAAAAACAGAGCTCGCAGAGCTGTAAAGTGTTTTTCCATCTTCTGCTTCTCAGTGGCTGAGAAGACCAAAGAGCAAGTGTCTAACGTTGGAGGAGCTGTGGTGACAGGAGTGACAGCGGTGGCCCAGAAGACAGTGGAAGGAGCAGGGAACATTGCTGCAGCCACTGGCTTGGTGAAGAAGGATCAGTTGGCCAAACAGGTTTGTTTATTTACAGTCTTTTCCAGATGAAGTGAACAATGAGCAGTCTCTCTGAACTGAAGGGCAAATGGAGTGTTTTCTTTTGTGTCTGTCAGTGGTATGAATGCAGGATGATTTGTGTCACGCTAAACAAATAAGCAGCAAAGAAAACATCTGCTGTTAATAGCTTGTATTTTGAGTGACCTGCAGGATTTGGGAACTTGAGTAGGATTGGGCATCTAGCTTTACTATTCTGAAAAGTCTTAATAAGTTTGGATCACTGTTTTTGTGATCTAGTGTGATTCTGAACTCAGCAGCCTCTAGTGGGGGCCAGCAGCTGTAGGATCACTGTACAGTTGAAGGGGAAAGTAACTATTTTTCCAAATAAGTTGGGATTGAAAAGCAACCCACTAGAGCTGAAAGGTCAAACAGCAAATCTCAGGTTTAACAGTGCAGTTTGTATCCTCTGCAGATGAAGAGCAGAAGGGATCATGTACCAATCCACTGACTGGTTAGATACTTTGCATTTAAAGTCAAGATCTAGCTGCAGAGTCACTATCTTCCATGAATATAGTGACATGAACTTAAAAATGCCTCCAAACTATTCTGAACTCTTCAGATCAAACTTGCTCTAGCTCATCCTGTAAAACACCCTGCAAATATTTTTATTCCAGCACCAAGGTGAACATTAAGTATTTGCACAACAGCAAGAGTTACTACACTTCTGATGCTGGTAATGCTGCAGTCATACTCTTCCACTTACACTAAGTGAAAAGTGACCCCAGATGGCTGGTGGGAATGATGCTTTCGAAAATGTATATAGTGTTGTTTGGACACAAAAATAACACAGAAGATACAAATACCTCCTTTTGCACTGTTTTTTGTATGAACATTTAAATGTTAGGGAAAAAAATAGGATTATGAAGAATATTAGTATTTGCACAAGATTATGGGTGTCATGGATTTAGCATGAGGAAGTTCTATGGTCTATCTTATTTCCAGTTAGTGTCCAGAGAAGCTGTTAAAATTGAATCATTAAAAACTCTTTTTTTTATCCTTTTCTGCTATTGAAGTGTATTCCTGTCTGTCTGACAGATCCTATTGGTCCTTTAGTTTGGGGGGGAGAAAGAGGGTATTATGTTGTGGTAGGCATTCACTCCACTGTGGTGGATTGGACTTGAAAACATCTCACAAGCGGTTTTGTTCTCTTTCAAAGCAGTTTTCCTGGGGGCCTTTTTAGTCCTTTTTTGTTCAGCTATAAGTAAAATGTTGCTTTTGATGTGGCCATGGTCCATTGTAAAAGCTATGTCGAAGATTTACAAAATCGAGTATCTATTAAACTGCCAGGGGATACACAAGTATTGGCATGGCCACAGTAGTCTATGCCCCTAGTTTCTGCTAAAGCTCTTTTGTAGTTTTATGCTGAGAATATTCTTTTCTGTTCGTAGCTCTTCAAACTCAGTGTCATAAGGATCATCATTGCTGTAATAAGCAATTACCTACTTTAGTATTGAGTATACCTAATATTTTTTCTTAATATTAATTTATACATATAGATCCTTATAATTATAAAGCATGAAGCAAATCTCTGCTGACTTTCATTTAATTCTGTTCTGTATATTGTAAAGCTTAAATATGAGTCATGATGGCTGTAACAGAATAAAATGACATCTGTGATATTAAAGAACATCCATAATATACATGTGTATTATTCCATAGCCCTATAAATAGCATCATTATTCTGAACTGGTGCTTTGTTCTTTAGATATGCAAACCCATTAATTTGATTCTTGATACTGGTATTTTTAGACTAAGATTCTCAGTCATCTATGCAGTATGGCCATCTAGCTGATTAGTATCTACGGCTCCTAGCGGACTGCTCTGCATCTCTGTCTCTTACTTGTTTTGCAAGGGATGAGTAGCTGTTTCAAAAATGTTAACATCAAAATTGAATTGTGTAAAGGTATTCTAAAACCTAGTATTTTTGCATTCCTGTGCAGTTCAGAGGCACATGAGACAGATTTTTGCTTGGATTTTCTGGGTAAACTGACAGTTGTGGGGCGACCAGGTATGGGCATTCAGAATACCAGTGGGGGCCAGGTTCCTTGTAGGAAACAGGGTGAGCCTTTCTGAAATAAGAGAAGGTGCCAACCAGGCATACAGTCAAAATATCATTGTAACTGTGTATTTTATCTCTGTAAGGTTATGTCTTTTAAGGCTGTGATATGTCTAGTCTACTCTAAACAGGGAATAAGAGACCATGACTGACAAATTCATTCCTTGAGCTTCAGTATGGCTAGCCAGTGCCTTTGGCAGGTTATTCTTCCTATGGACTTCTATTTGGAGTTGTCCTGACGCAAATGGCTGTGTATCCCAAGTGCAAGATGAACTCTTACCTTGCTTACATAGTGTAAGCAAGTCATGGGATTTGACTGGGAATTGCAAATGAAGCATATCCGTTGAAAGTGGATAGAAGCATAATTACAGGCTATTTTTCCACAGAAGGCTGAAAGGCATTAGCCAATAATCTGTTATTTTAGTTGGCTTCTAGACTTGTGACAAAGAAGGCTGCAAGGCATTAGCCAATAATCTGTTATTTTAGTTGGCTTCTAGACTTGTGACAAATTATTTCTTCCAGTTCACATGGACCTGCATAATTCAGTGCAAATACTCCAACTGAATGTAGCAAACAGTGACCTCCTGAGGCTCCTTCCAACCTGATTTATTCTGTGAACTGCTGTAAACTCAACCTCCCTGCAATATTCTGTGAACTGCTGTAAACTCAACCTCCATGCAGCTGGAGGAGTTTGCTTATTTGCCATCAATTACAGGATCAGGGACTCTGAAATAAATATGGAATCACAGAATATCTCAAGTTGGGAAGGACCTATAAGGATCACTGAGTCCACCTCCCTGCTGCTTGCTGGGATCAGCTGCTTCCAAACCTGTGTCTGGAAGCCCATCTAAACTAATGGTCATTGCTGGGATCTGCTACTAGTTATCTGCTTGCCTCTGTGACAGCCTGCAGTCTTGCATGGCGACTGGCATTTTTCTTGTGCCGTGATGGAAGTCTGGTTTTGACTTTCAACTAATTGAAAACAGTCATAGTCTTTACCTGTGGATACAACAACATTTATGCAAAGGAAATACTAAGCAGATTCTTGCTAAAATGCTTTCTTGAGAAGTTTGTCCAAGGTTGCCTAGTGCAGCCTTTAATACTGGTGTGCTTTGGACCATGAAGCACAGGTTTAACCATCTGAGGCCACGCTGTCACCTACGTACCCTACAGCCAGTGTAAGCGGGCAGCGCTGAGTGGCAGCTGAGCCTAGTGAGTGACAGGGCCCATCTGAGGACTGCCTGGGGGGTTTACTCTTTGGCAGAAAGTCACTGCTTAACACAGCAAGAGTAGTGGCGGTTAGTAGGCTTGAATTAATTACAAAAGGGTTAACATACTGCAAGTAGCATTTTAATAAATGACAAAACAATTCTTAAGATTATTTAGATTTCAAAAGTTCTTCCATGCATTGCCAGCATGCATCTACTCACAAATTATTTTTAATGCGCACTAGCATTTAGCATACAGCCTATTAAAAACTGTTTATAAGCTAGTTGTAAATTTGAGACTAATTTTAAAACCTGCTCATAATAATACGCTTATTTATAATCATTGGGACTCTTCCTGGAAACAGAAAAGAAGTTGCTTCTCTCTTTCATGCTTTCTTCTCTCCATTAAGAGAAGACGATAAGCTGAAATACTGGGTTGTACAGATAAAATATTTGTTTTAAATTTATTCTGTGCCTGGGCATGTTTTATTTCTGTGTACAGTGTAAGTGTGCTTCTAAATTAATCGAGTTTAAAAAAAGGAAGATTAATGATAATTGCGTTTACTGTAGAAATGAACATGTTTTGTCCCAAGTTAAGAAAGCTGTGAAATCCTTTGAATATTCTATTTTCAGCTCAGCATGAACATATAGATGCAGATAGTATACAGGGGTACTAGCTAGTGAATATCTATTGTATAATATTGCTTGAGAACAAAATATGGATTACAAAGTTTATTGTTTTCAGATAGGTAATTAACTAACTGAAGTTCTCAACCTTACTAAATTCATGTCACTTGCTTCTCTAACATCTCAAGAACAAATCAGTTGGTAAGTTCTATGATTTCTGTGGTAAATAATTTTATTTATACTGTTCTAGCACCAAAATCCCCACTCAAGCTGAAATGTCAAGGTACTTTGAGTACCATGCAAAGACATAGTTAGACAGATTTTGTGCGCTGTAGATCTTAGTGTAGCAGGCCTTGCACTTACCACGTTTGGGATCCATATGATCTGTAGGGATCGTGTTTGGCATCTATATGTGATAAATCCTTTTTGTTTCTAGAGTGTGTCTTTAACATATTTACGGTAAATAGCACTGTAGACACAAACATAAAACTACAGTAGCAGATAACATGTAGATAGATAACATACTTACAGAGCAGGTAATATAGCTCATTGGTTTAATCAACAAGCTTTCAGAGAAAAAGAAGACTGTATGTGGGAAGACTGTCAATTTAGGCATAAGACATTTTTTTCCATAGAAAATATTAACTAAACTATTTAACTAAAGCCCTTGCTAATTGCATTTAATATGAAAATTAATATAGAAGAATGAAAGCAATGGCAACTTTGCTATATCTTCTCCCCCCACTTGCTTCCAGACTGCATTTCCTGGGACTCCTTAGAATCCAAACATTGTCCTAGCATAAACATCCAGTGCCATGAACCCCACAGGTGTAGAGTATTTCTTGTCTTATTACTTTTCTTGGCCAGAATAGCTGGTTTTATGAACAACCAACTGTTTCCATGGATCATTACACATTGCTTAGGGCCAGGGTGAATCCACTTTGGGGAATCACCATAATCAAATATATTCATATGTAGGAGCTTTTTTTTTTTAAATGCTTTTTACAGGGAAGCTCCATGAGATGTTGTGCACTGCTGAGAATAAAGACATGATGAAACAGCTTTTAATT